AAACACACAAATATACTTATACATAGACAGACAGAGAGTGTGATTTCAACAACAGCACTAATTTGCTCTGAAGAATATGATCATAAAAGCGCTACTAAAGCTTACCTTCAGCAAGAAGTCGTTCTGCCAGAAATGTTGCATCGACATATGCATAATGGTTCAGGCAGTGCCATATCGCAGCCTGAAATAAAAAAAATAAAAAAGGGTAAGTTAAAAAATGTAGCTTATTCGTCTAGTAAAAACTTTGTTCATTTATGTAATGCAATAGCCACAACTGTTCACACTGGACCATATTGCCTTCTACACTTCATAATTTCTGTAGTGGGGCTAGTGAAAGTAAGGCAGGTGAATACAGAAAGGCCTACAAATTGACTCCTTGGGGGCTAAGCACTTATATTGCCATCAATGTGCAAAAAAAATTCACAAAACAAAACAAAGCAGAAGTGAGAAATGGATGTGCACAGTGTGTGGGTAAACTTTGCTTATGATTAGATGTCTCTACAAACAATAAGACACCAATGAATCAATTACCAGGCCTCCCTCATCTGACCTATGTACCCCATTCCTTGAGATTTTGTGAAAATTCATGGAATTAGGTAAAAATATGAGCAAAGTAGACATTGTAATCAAAAACAATCACAGTGGACAGTGAAGGAACACATGCACTCCCAGTTTAAAAATGGATAAAAAAGGAAAATCAAGTGCTATAATACTAAACAACAGAAACAACGGGGAATCTCATGAACATTACAGTTGGTGGAAAAACCCACAATGAAAAAACTTTATGGTTGTAAAAGTTGTAGAAAGAAAGAAAGAAAGAAAAAAATAGCAACAACAACAACCCCACCACCCAACTTAAAAGTTATTGGGCATGTTAAAGACCATATTACATGTAGGCAGATTTTTGTCTACTTCCTATAATATACAAATATACTGTGTACTTTCTTCAAATTTGTACATATTAGTTTTAACCTATACGTTCTTTAGAAATTTGAAAGTTTTTGCTGTGAATATCACACGCACAAAAACCCTAAAACACTATACATATATATTAAATATATATATAATATTATAGATATACATACATTATATTATAGATATAAATGTAATTTCATATATATATAAATATAAATATATATATATATATATATATATATATATATATATATATATATATATATACATAATATCATATATATACAATATTATATATATATATACATATATATATATATATATATATATATATATATATATATATATATATATATATATATATATATATATATATATATATATATATATATATATACATATCATATGTATACAATATTATATATATATATACATATCATATGAATACAATATTATATGTATGTATGTATATATATATATAGCGAAAGAAAGAAAGAAAGATAGAGAATTAGAAAGAAAGAAAGAAAGAAAGAGAGAGAAACAAAGATGAGAGAGAGAGAGAGAGAGAGAGAGAGAGAGAGAGAGAGAGAGAGAGAGAGAGAGAGAGAGAGAGAGAGAGAGAGAGAGAGAGAAACAAAGAGAAAAGAGTGAGATAGAGAGAAACAAAGAGAAAAGAGTGAGAGGGAGAGAAAAACAAAGAGAAAAGAGTGAGAGGGAGAGAGAAACAAAGAGAAAAGAGTGAGAGAGAGAGAGAAACAAAGAGAAAAGAGAGAGAGGGAGAGAGAAACAAAGAGAAAAGAGTGAGAGAGAGAGAGAAACAAAGAGAAAAGAGTGAGAGAAACAAAGAGAAGAGAGAGAGAGAGAGAGAGAGAGAGAGAGAGAGAGAGAGAGAGAGAGAGAGAGAGAGAGAGAGAGAGAGAGAGAGAGAGAGAGAGAGACAAAGAGAAGAAGAGAGAGAGAGAGAGAGAGAGAGAGAGAGAGAGAGAGAGAGAGAGAGAGAGAGAGAGAGAGAGAGAGAGAGAGAGAGAGAGAGAGAGAGAGAGAGAGAGAGAAAGAGAGAGAGAAAGAGAGAGAGAAAGAGAGAGAGAAAGAGAGAGAGAAAGAGAGAGAAAAAGAGAGAGAAAAAGAGAGAGAAAAAGAGAGAGAAAAAGAGAGAGAAAAAGAGAGAGAAAAAGAGAGAGAGAAAAAGAGAGAGAAAGAGAAAGAGAAAGAGAAAGAGAAAGAGAGAAACAGGGAGAAGAGAAGAGAAGAGAAGAGAAGAGAAGAGAAGAGAAGAGAAGAGAAGAGGAGAGAAGAGAGAGAAGAGAGAGAAGAGAGAGAAGAAAGAAACAGAGAGAAGAGAAGAGAAGAGAAGAGAAGAGAAGAGAAGAGAGAGAGAAAGAGTTAGAGAGAGAGAAAGAGAAAAAGGAAGAGAGAAAGAAAAAAAAGAAAAAGGGATAGAGAAAGAAAAAGAGAAAAAGGGAGAGAGAAAGAAAGAGAGAGAGACACACAGAGAAAAGGGTGAGACAGAGAGAAAAGAAAGATGCAGAGAGGTGAGAGTGACAGAAAAGGGAAAGAAGCACAAAAGAAAAAGAAAAGAGGCAGAGAGTGAGAAAGGAAAGAGGCAGAGAGAGAGAGCGAAAGGAAAGAGGCAGAGAGAGAGAGAGAAAGGAAAGAGGCAGAGAGAGAGAGCGAAAGGAAAGAGGCAGAGAGAGAGAGCAAAAGGAAAGAGGCAGAGAGAGAGAAAGGAAAGAGGCAGAGAGAGAAAGGAAAGAGGCAGAGAGAGAAAGGAAAGAGGCAGAGAGAGAGAAAGGAAAGAGGCAGAGAGAGAGAAAGGAAAGAGGCAGAGAGAGAGAGAGAAAGGAAAGAGGCAGAGAGAGAGAGAGAAAGGAAAGAGGCAGAGAGAGAGAGAGAAAGGAAAGAGGCAGAGAGAGAGAGAGAAAGGAAAGAGACAGAGAGAGAGAGAGAAAGGAAAGAGGCAGAGAGAGAGAGCGAAAGGAAAGAGGCAGAGAGAGAAAGGAAAGAGGCAGAGAGAGAAAGGAAAGAGGCAGAGAGAGAAAGGAAAGCAGCAGAGAGAGAAAAGAAAGAGGCAAAGAGAGAGAAAGGAAAGAGGCAGAGAGAGAAAGGAAAGAGACAGAGAGAGAGAAAGGAAAGAGGCAGAGAGAGAAAGGAAAGTGGCAGAGAGAGAAAGGAAAGAGGTAGAGAGGGAAAGGAAAGAGGCAGAGAGAGAAAGGAAAGAGACAGAGAGAGAGAAAGGAAAGAGGCAGAGAGAGAAAGGAAAGTGGCAGAGAGAGAAAGGAAAGAGGTAGAGAGGGAAAGGAAAGAGGCAGAGAGAGAAAGGAAAGAGACAGAGAGAGAGAGAAAGGAAAGAGGCAGAAAGAGAAAGGAATGAGGCAGAGAGAGAACAAAAAGTGGCAGAGAGAGGAGACGAGAGAAGAGAAGAGTAAAGGAGAGAGCGAGCGAGAGAGCGAGAAAGTTCACTCAAGAAACATTGCCAACATAAGCATTCTCTAAAATTCAAATTGTGTTTACTTCAGACTGAATGAAGTTTAATTATATTAACTCTAATTAAGCCTTACCCAATTAGCAAATATACTTTACAGTACCCTATTAATGCATCTTACAGATACTCTACTCTACAGATACTCGTGCATATGTTGTGCTTTGTCTCATGTACAACATAGGCCTACATTACCACTTTTCTTTGCACACTTTTCTCACAAATAATTTAAAAAGTCACAGAATAATAGAATACAGTTATATTTCCACACATAAGTGATTAAGTAAGAATATAAGAAAAATTATAAGAGTTATAATAATTATAATTTTCGTGTATACAAAATCCCATAGAAGTCTTCAATGATTAAAGGTTAAAACAAATAAATGTACCAGACATTAAATTAGGTTATCAAACCCCTATAATTTGAGACTTTGGCCGAGTTATGCAATTGTATAATTTTCTTTAGAAAGTGCTAGAGTTTGTTTGATAGTTTATTACTACAAAAAAAAATCCTTTACTATTTATTACTACAAAAAAAAAAATCCTTTACCGTTTATTACTACAAAAAAAAATCTTTTTGATTTTGTCTTGAATTTATTATTATTTCAATTCCTGAAAGTGTGCAACCTTCAGGGTATTAAAGACTAACATCTGAAAGTTTCTTAAGAGTATAGGACTTGATAAAGCCAGATTTTGTGCTATGAGACAAAGAACAAATATTTTTCCTGAAATGATCCAGATTGCGGATTGAGACTGCACCCCAAATTTTACGTCATTTTTCAGCAAGTCGCTCGACCACATTCGTCACGACCTGCCTCCCGAGCAGACACACGGGCACGCACTCCCCCCAGGGCCCAGCCGCTCCCCCCCAAAACAGCCCAGCCCCCCATCTGGTCCCTCCCCTCTCCCCTCCCTTAAGTCCCCCTCCTGCTGGACCCCAGACCCTTCCACCTCCGGAGTACCCCAGTCCTCCCTGGGCCCTTGGACACAGGGCCGCCGAACCCCCAGGCGTCACGTCCTGACCCTAAGCACCCCCCTCCCCTGGGGGCACAGAAGCCCCTCTCGCCTGGCAGTCATCTGCTACTCCTCCGCCTCCACCTCTGGCCCAAACACCTCCACCTGGCCACCCTCCACCTCCGCCATGGCCCGGGCACCCGAGGGGAGATTAGCCCGCGCCCCAGACGCCCCCGAAACGTGAATCCTCCCTGCCAAGGAGTACATCGAGGTCAGGAAAAGCCCTCCGCTCCAGGCCTCAGCTCTCGCCTCTCCTGGCCCTCCGAGGCACCCACCTGGACTGGCTCCTGGACAAGCATAATGTCGGTCTCTTGAGGAACCCGAATTGAACCCTAGTAATCCTTTTGGGAGGCCTAGACTGTCATTTTCACGGAGGAATCCTTCGCAGCCGCGTCTCAGGGTCATCAGAGGGAAGCCATAATGAACAGTTTTGAACTCCTGCGCGATGGTTCTTATCTCGTCTCAATTCGTCCGCCAAAGAAAAACACGAGAATGTATCTTGCATCAAATATCCCCTATCTATATATTCTTCTTTCGACTTTTACACCCGAGAGACGAGGAATTTGATTTTACCTCAAAGAGAAAAAAGAACCATCGCGCAAGTTGTTTCTCGCCGCAGCTGATCCGCACGTTGGAGTCTGAGACGATTTATTCCCGTCGCTTATGCCGGAATGCCTCCCAAAAATGCCGGCAAGGGTGGAGGGGGCGCGTCCAAGAAAGCGGAGCAGAAGAAGAAGGAGAAAATAATCGAGGTAGGCAAGAGCAAGAGGGAAGAAGGGGAAGAAGGACCCGCACTATGGCCAGTCCGACATGGCCAGGCCCGTCATTTCTCTCCGTTTTATCAGCACGAGTCTTTCTGTGAGCCTGGGGAGTATTGCGCTTGCTCCGGGACCAGCGCTGATGTCGGGTCGTCGCTGGGGATTGGACTCTTAGGAAGTAAGCTTATACGCCAAAGGAATGATGATGCCGGAAGGGCCGATTGATAGATTGGCATGAAGTGACGGGAGGGCATGCAGGGAGGGACGGGTGGGCATGCTGGGAGGGACGGGAGGGCATTCAGGGAGGGAAGGGTGGGCATGCTGGGAGGGACGGAAGGGACGGGAGGGCAGGCGGGAAGGGACGGGAGGGCATTCAGGGAGGGACGGGTGGGCATGCTGGGAGGGACGGAAGGGACGGGAGGGCAGGCGGGGAGGGACAGAAGGGACGGGAGGGCATTCAGGGAGGGACGGGTGGGCATGCTGGGAGGGACGGGAGGGCAGGCGGGGAGGGACAGAAGGGACGGGAGGGCAGGCGGGGAGGGACGGAAGGGATGGGAGGGCATGCGGGGAGGGACGGGAGGGCAGGCGGGGAGGGACGGGAGGGCAGGCGGGGAGGGACGGAAGGGACGGGAGGGCAGGCGGGGAGGGACGGGAGGGCATGCGGGTAGGGACGGGAGGGCAGGCGGGTAGGGACGGGAGGGCAGGCGGGGAGGGACGGGAGGGCAGGCGGGGAGGGACGGAAGGGACGGGAGGGCATGCGGGGAGGGACGGGAGGGCAGGCGGGGAGGGACGGAAGGGACGGGAGGGCAGGCGGGGAGGGACGGGAGGGCAGGCGGGGAGGGACAGAAGGGACGGGAGGGCATGCGGGGAGGGACGGGAGGGCAGGCGGGGAGGGACGGGAGGGCATGCGGGGAGGGACGGAAGGGACGGGAGGGCATGCGGGGAGGGACGGGAGGGCAGGCGGGGAGGGACGGGAGGGCAGGCGGGGAGGGACGGAAGGGACGGGAGGGCAGGCGGGGAGGGACGGAAGGGACGGGAGGGCATGCGGGGAGGGACGGAAGGGATGGGAGGGCATGCGGGGAGGGACGGGAGGGCAGGCGGGGAGGGACGGGAGGGCAGGCGGGGAGGGACGGAAGGGACGGGAGGGCAGGCGGGGAGGGACGGAAGGGACAGGAGGGCATGCGGGGAGGGACGGGAGGGCATGCATAGAAACAAATCGACTTACAAACAAAACAAAAAAAGAAAAAGAAACTACGCTCTGGCAAACAAAGGCAGCGTGAGTAGGGTACATCAGCCCGAATCACTGGCTCGCCGCGCTTTGGCACGCTGCCGCGGAGTACAGCCGCTCGCCAGCTTTCGAGCAGTTTGTTTTCACGCCGATCGACGTCACCCGGCGTTAAAGGGTTAAGTTGGGGACTTACTGTATAAGTGTATATATGTATATATGAGTATATAAATATATATATATATATATATATATATATATATATATATATATATATATATATATATATATTTGTATATATATACAATATATATATATTGTGTGAGTGTGCGTGTGTGTATGCGTGTGCGCATACACACACACACACAATATATATATATATATATATATATATATATATATATATATATATATATATAATATATATATATATATATATATATATATATATATATATATATATATATATATATATTTATATACACATATACATATATATGCAAATATGCATATATAAATATATACATATACAATAAGTCCCGAACTTATGAACATAATGGGGACCAAGAGGCTGTTCGGAAGTCCACCAGCCATCGATAAGATGGCGTGTGGTCAGCTGAGCAGGGGAGAACACAACCAAAGCCTATGTCTGTTAGACCGGGGATGACACCAAACCATACTGACAAATATCGATAAACATGGATAGATTAACATGGCGTCGACCAATGGGGTTGAACAGGTGTCTATAAATCTGAGATGACTAAGCATTTGTATATCGGGGTCAAACAGCTGCCATGGTTACCACTAGATTACAGATTTGCATTTTGGTTACACATTTTAACCATAGGGCTATGTCAGTTACATACATGAAAGCATTTCACATGAAATATAAAACAGAATACATTGCATACTTGAAATAAAAATTAGGAAACTCGTAAGATTTACCTTGTTCACTTGGATTTGTTTAACATTTCTTGGCACTTCCACTGGCTTCACCGTTTATCTTTCTCTTCACACCCAACATTTTTGATGGATTGATGCACAGGTAAAGCGAATTATGGCACAAAAATTGGCAGTACACAAGGACACCGTGAACAGATGCTTTCGTGTTTTGGCCGGGAGGGCAGGCGACTGAGGCAAGTGATGCACACAGCTGAGTGAGCACGGCAGACGCGTGAACTATATTCGTGGCCAGGAAATTTGAAGTTTGCTAGCATCTTTTAAACAATTTTTTTTCTTAAGTATTTAAAAAGATTTGTTCATATGTATGGAATATTTGTAAGTAGAACGTTCTTAAATAGGGGACTATCTATATATGTATATATGCATTATCCACTAGCTATGCGACAAATTGACTTAATGTATCATATTTTGCTGTCATAATCACACAAGAAATCTAAAAATGTTTTTTTGCACTGCTTAGAACATTCAAAGCCATATAAATAATTATATAAATACCAAGTCTGAAACAAGGGATTCAGACTTTCTATCCCCAGTACTTGTAAAGGTTGCTCATTGTTATTTCTCATTGCAGGATAAGACCTTTGGAATAAAGAATAAGAAGGGCGCCAAACAGCAACGCTTCATCCAGCAGGTACAGCATCAGGTTAAGCATGGCGGCAATAAGTCAACAAGGGAAATGGAAAAGGAGAGGGAGGCTCAGGTGAAGAAAAAGGAAGACAAGAAGAAGGAACTGGCACAGCTCAATGAACTTTTTAAACCCGTCCAGCAACTTGCATCGAAAGGTTAGATAAACTGAGTGGTGGAAATATTGTACAGAGTTGATAATTTCAACAAGCATTTTTTCAGTGTGGACATAAACCTTTCCCATTTGTAGCTCTTTGATTAGACTTTTCTTTTCCCCTTTCCCTACTTTGTCAGATGTAAATGATTATATCTTGGTTTCCCTCCTTTCCCCACCTTCATTACAAATGTTTTTCCTCTCCTTTACCAGCACTTATTTCATAATTAACCCAATGGCGCCGGGTGTACAAAGGGGAAAAAAAAACTCTTCGCTCTAGCAAACAAAGGCGACGCGCCGACTTTGAGCGCGCGAGTACGGGACGTCAACCCGAATCACTGGCTCGCCGCGCTTTGGTGCGCTGCCGGCTCATTTGGCTGCACACCAGCTTTCGAGTGGTTTGTTTACACGCCTATCGGCGTGACCCGGCACCAAGGGGTTAACTGCTGGTTTACCAGTGCATGTATGTTCCTCCTCCTCCTCCTCTTCCTCCTCACCTATTGATTAGTCTTTCTTATTTCTTTCTTCTCCTCCTCCTCCTCCTCCTCCTCCTCCTCCTCTCTTCAATTATTATTGTTAATTATGATAGCTACTACAGATACCATGGTATTTGCATTGGGGCTATTCACAGCAGAAGTAATCCTAGTAAACAGACTTTTTTCTTTTATTTATTTATTTATTTTGCTTATTTATTTGTCTTGACAAGTAGTTTATGTAAGTAATATCACAATAAATGTGCAATAATGCTTTATAGAAATTTGTAGTAAGTCACTCTACACTCTCCTGAGTATACACAAACTTGGTAGAATGATTATCAAAGGTAAAGAAAAAATAGTATGTGGTGGGTGACCAACTTAACCCAATGCCGCCAGGGAAAATGAATAAAAAGTGGGCTCATTTTTTATATTCTTATGAAATGTCTCTGACATAGATGGCTCTGGTAGTGCTTAGCCACAAAGGAGTCAATTAGTAGACCTTGTGACCTTACCTGATTTCACCTTTCCTTGACTTGGCGGGAAAAACATATTTTTTACTAGTGCTATGGATATTGATGGTGTTTTTATTATAAACATTATAATTGCCATAATATTATAAACATTTGTAACAGCAAAATAATATAATGTAAAATATTTTCATTAATCAAGGAAAAGGGTAAATGGGTGAGACAGGCAGTACTTGTAATTGGCTCATTGGTGACTTAGTACAAGTATAGCCATCTATATGTTAAAACAATTAAAAAGTAAACTCGCAGTGGGCTTGGCATGTCCATACATGCCATGCCTGTTGGTATTGGGGTAAGGGTTATGTAACCTCCATTATTTAGCACGAAATTATTGAGAAACAGATAATTTTATTATTTATAGCAAAAGGGGTGATTTTGAACATTTGTTATATGTTGGATAGTTTTCAGCATGTGTCAGAATGTGTCAAAACATCCGAAAGTAGAGGCATCCCTATTACTATAATAAGAGGATACATAAATGACAGTGATGATAATAGAAATGAAAACCTTTTGAAATTAGATTCCAAGGAATGGGTGAGAATTAGGAAGCCTGTGATTTGACTCCATGATGATGATTATTATTATTATTTCTATTTACTTCTTCTTCATACGGGACCCTGAAAGGTGGACCATTTCTCTCCCCAACATACTCTAGGCTTACTATAGCCAGTAATGAAGACTGTACCATTATTGGGAACAAGGAGGCTTGCCCCTTTATCAAATAGCCCCACAGGTTTGAATTTTACATTCCCTGACACCAGGCTCTCCTTTGACCATGACTGAGTGCGGCCACTACTACCCCTTCCTCAATGTCTCCTCAGTCCAGGCCCAGTCATCCCTCCAGGTCAATACTCAATCTCCAGAA